AGAATCCTGTGTATTTTCTGAAGTCTTCCTGTCAGACTCCCTAGGATCATAATCCCCCATCTCCTGTGGTTGGTGACTTCTCACCTTACCCATTACCTTCCCAGAGGGCATGGATATCCCCTCTCATTCTGATCCACAGAAATAATCCACAATCTCTGGTTACCACTTCACTCATGCCAACCCCCTCGCACACTTGCCCAAGCTACTGATATAATAAAGTTCATACTTGGCCCCAGAAGCAGCAGAAACATCAGCATCTTCAGGGGTTTGCCTTACAACACACCTCTCTCAAGAGAGATGTGACCATACTCTTCATTCTTCCCTTTTTGCTTCTAGAAGGTTGGATGACTGCTTACATAATCTTGAGGATGCTCTTATCTGCCCCCTGGTGGTGATCTTTGCCAATGATGTAGGATCTAATACTCTTTCTGACTATCAAAAACCATACATACTTTGCTGTAAGGGGCCTCAAAAATGTTCTAATGCAACTCAATTTTATAGAAGATACACTGAGATGTACATAATTATAATGGTTCAAAGTGGCTTCTTAGCCTTATATAAGGAAAGGAGTATATGTTTGTGTAGTAAACAGCATTATACTTGTTGATGAAAATGATCCATAACCAATGTATAAATAAAAATTTGGGTGAGTTTATTGTGAGCCAAAATGTTAGGACCATAGCCCAGGGCCTTCCTTTCCAAAGGAGGGAAGGGAACCAAAGAAGTGGGGTGTACAGAGTGTTATAGACCCTCAAAAAGGATGTTTCACATATGATTGAAGTATACCTTTTACAATAGTCACGAGACTGCTCTGTTGGCACAGCGATTGATGGACACAGTAGGTAGTAGGTCTACTGTCTAGGTGGACACAGCAGAGTGGCAAGTCTGTTGTGTCGAGTTGGGTGGTCATAGGTGAGCACAGCAATCAGTTCCTAGCCTAGGGAATGATGCTTATCCTAGGGAATGATGGAAATCCCAATGTGGGGGGGAAGTTCCACCTTTATCTTAAGGGCATTTGTTTTTGCCGTAGGAAATGTTTAAAGTGGATATACAATGCATGCTCAATGGCCATCTTAGTCCCTTTTGGGTAAACAAAGTCACGCCAAATTAGGTTTACACCAAATGGCTTCTTCATATACTCCAATATATCCTATTGCTTACCATTTATATTTGTCGTACTCATTTCATATCTTCTGTGCCATACCCTCAAAGTAACCAAGTGTAACGTAAGCCCTGAGGTTGGTTTTCCTATTTTGCAGTGCAAATACATAACTTAAGCTTTGATTTTGAGGCATCCAATTCAAGGTGTCTTCAACTTCGATGATGGCTATGTCAAATAAACAAATTGCCAGCCTCCTAACCAGATAAAAAGCCAGACCAGCTCCCAGCTGATCCCACTTCCCACAGTTTCCTTTCTTTTAGAGACCTCAGTTATCAAAACTTACCACTTGGATCACTTGTTTTTTCTCTTCCAGTCTTTTAAATTCTTGCTTTTATATTTTACATTTTGTATTGGTGAATACAACAGAGTAAGCCCAAGAAACTCTAGATCTCACCCTCGACCCAAATAAAAGTAAAGCCCAAGTTCTGTGCATGCTCAGTCTCTACCTGAGACCTTGCTATGTAGCCTCAGGTGTATCATGTAATTTCCAGGACTTGTAAGTAATACACTTTATTTTTTCAAAGGTTCTGATGGTTCTTCCTGAGGGTACCTTGCAATCATAAGAACCACAACAGCCAGTCCAGGCACAAGATTGTTTATCACGAGGCTGAGACCAGCACACAACACCAAGAAAACTCATGATTGTTAATCACCAGAACTGGGTGAGCAAAAGAACTCCCAGGTCAGGAGTTAAATGTTTCCTCATATTTATGATAAGGACAGTTGCTCATCTTCTAAATGAGGTATTTATTACACAACCATCTCATGCCAGTTCCCCTCATATTCATGCACTTAATGCTAAACATGGCTATTTATTATAGTCCATGTGTCTCTGTGTAAAGCACTGCAGGGGCTGTGAGGATAATTTATTTACAGCTATTTCACCATGATACAGGTCATAAACTAAGTACTGGGCAATGGAAATAGATTCTAGCAGATTTAGGGAATTATTTCTGCTTTTAACATGGTGGAATATTTATTTAAAATGCCTCATGCCTGGAAAGGTGTAGCAAGCTCAAACTGGCTAAAGATTTTTCTCCAAAGCATTATGCTTTCACTTGAATAATGACCTCCCAGTTATGCCTCCACTTACTATTTAGTTCTTCTTATCTGGAGTGGGTAACTAAGAAACATGAGATTAGGAATTGATCCATCAAATTATGTTTGTACTATAGTGACATAGATTTTTATCATAGCAAGCATAATTGTGTCATACTGAATATTCCTGTATGCATAAGACTGACATATGGCTTAAAGGGCATCTGACACGCTCCTGTGCTATATTGTTTCATAGCTGGTACACGCCACTTTAGACTTGGACCACCTCTCACTATAACTGCACTTTTCCTGCAAAGAGTAGGTGAAAGTAACTTGTAATTCATTATCTCTTGTATAATCTTATGACAGATATGGGATGAAGTGCCTGGAAATCACCTGATCAGAGGAAAATCTTTCTACTCCTTCTGAGGACCTCCAGCCATCAGGCATATACCTGTGGTTTATATTACTGTATCAACATAACTAAGGAGGAAATGCCTTTCCCAGAACATTCTTCCTAATAGAGCTCTTGATTAGAGTGGATCTCAAGAAAATTATTTGTAAATGAAGCAGCTGTCATTATACTCTGAAGTCATCATTGGTCCAAGGCAGTGAGGAACAGGATCAGAAGTACCATTTTATCACATTATGGTAGCTACTCTTCAAAGATGGCAACCCAGATGAACCACACCTCCCAGTAGTCACATTCTTGTCAGTCCCTTCCTCTTGACTCTGGACTAGCCTGTATATGCTGGAAACAACATTGCATGATTTTTCAAGATAGGTCATAATTAGCCTTGTAGATCCCACGTGGGTCTTTTGAATGCTCACTTTTGGGGAAGCCAGCCACTACTTGATAACTTTGAGTACCCTGAGGCCACCATGCCATGAGGAAACCCAGCTAACTACATTGAGGGGCTGTGTGGAGGAAGAGAGACATGCCAGACTGATCCACAGCTGTTCCAGACATCCGAGTTGAGGGATCAGGTATGTGCATAAAGAAGCCACCTTGGATATCCAGCCCAGGCAAGCCTTAGGTTATCTCCAGTGTCAGTGACTATTTGACTATGACGACATGAGGGATCCCAAGTGGGAATTGCCCAGCCAAGCCCATTCAACCCACAGAACCATGAGAGATAATGCGTTTATACTTTGTCACTACATTTTGGAGTGGTGGTTGTTATCCTAAGCTTTTAAACTGAGCTATAAAATACGTATAATAGACTGCATAAATCTTAAGTGTACAGTTTAGTGAATTTTCACAAATGAAAACGTTATGCAACTACACCAAGATCAAGATACAGCATTTCAGCTCTCCAGAAACCTCCCTCATGCTCCCATCCGAGTAAATTTAAAATGCCCACAAATGTAGCCACTATTTGAACTTCATATTGTGTATTCTTTGTCTACCTTCTTTGTTCAATAATCCATTTATGAGATTCATCCATCCATGATATTGCAAATAATATTTGATTCTTTGCAATATTTTATTCTTGTATATATGTGTAACATAATTTATCTATCCATTGCATTATTGATGGACATTTAAATGCTTTCCTTTTTGAAGTCATCATGAACATGGTTCATGTTCATGAATTTGTGAGTTCATGGTTCGTGATTGAAAGACTGTCATTCTTAAGTGCTTCTAAGAATATTTAAAAATATATTTCATCCAGCATTTTTAGTTGGATGCAGTGTAAGGGTTAGTCTGAATAGCATAGACTGTCATACATGTCTAGAAACAGAGGTAATGTCATCAAATAAGAACTTGTAAACAAATGCATTCCCAAGATTTAACAGCACTTCTCTTCTAATTCCATAGTTAGGTGGCAGACAACAAAGGGAGAAAATACACAGAAAGCATAAAGAACATTTGCAAAACAATACTGACCACCTGTCTGCTGACTATTCATGAAAAGATTTCCTCCAAGCCTGACTCTCTATTCTGAGTACCAAGTGCATTTACAGGAGCCTACTGGGTATTTCTATGCAGAGGTCCATGGAAGGCCCACTTGAACTGCAAAGTCAATATTGTGCAGTAAATTTGTTCCACTCCTTCTTCCAAATTTTCTCTTATTGCCATATTCTGGGGAGTTCATCACCTTTATTCTTGACATCATCTCATCGTTCTCTCCTAACGTAGTTCCCTAAGCCCATATCACTCAGGTGGAGCTTGTGCATCTGGTACAATCCTACTCATCATTCGGGTTTCATCTGACATTTTACTTTCTCTTTGAAGCCCTTCCTGATGTCACCAGAGAGAATTGGCCATGTTATTTCTTGTAGTCCTCTAATACCTCTGATTAAAGCACACAGGTATGATATTAGACGACAGTACTTGTCTTCTATACATTTCTCTTCCCACTAGGCTTCTTTTATTTTTCTGATGAAAGAAATAATTTTCTCTTCTTTTTTTCCCAGAGTTTAGTAAAAGAGAAGAAAGAAATGAGTTCTAAAAGTAACATTTTTTCTCTCTTCTCCTCTCTCTTTCCTACTCTACCTTCTCCTACTTTTCTTCTTCCTTCTGCTTTTCTCCTTCTTCCTCTCTCTGTCTCTCTGTCAATGATATCATTAGATGCACTTATAGATATATGCACATATGTCATGTTTCAACCCAACTTACTGGATCTCTGAAGTCCCTACCATTCCACAAAGGGCATTGATGGCAGCAGCTGCTCTGTGGGCCTGGTTGAGGTGGAGGAAAGCTGGAAGATCAGGGTACTGAGCCCAGAAAAACCCTGCCACCTTGTGGGGAAGCAGGGCTTGGGACACATTTATGTACAGTGGGGAGGTGGGGACGTTTCACTGTGTCTCTACTACTGGCACAGAGATACAGGGATGTCTGGTTCTTTGGAGTCAGTTTCACAGTGAGAGGAAAGAATGCCTTCTCCTGAGAAGCACTGTAGCCTTCAGATACGTTTCCTTTCTAAACAGCATTTACAGCCTGTGAGTAGCAGATGAGTCTCAGCTCTTGTCCATGATCTTGTCGGTATTAGTACATGGTGCTGTAATTAAAATTCTATTCACATTCCGGGGTCACATCTCGTCCTTCCTCTCTGAACAGATATTCTGCGCTCTGAGTGATTCCACTGTCCGTGGTGCCTATGGAAGAGAAAAGCTCTAGAAACACAGCCCAAGTAGGTTCCTAATGCTGCTGTCATGGGGAAAGAATTAGGTCTGGAGCTTGGCACCTCTGAGACAAGAATTTGCTCCCTCAACCCAGGACTCACCTGCTCCCAGGTGACAAAGGGCCACCCAGCAGAGCACCTGATTGCTCACAGTGGGCAGGGCAGGGGGTCTCCTTTTGGCTCCAAGCACTTGCTGAAAGACAAATGAGGAAACACACTTAGCTGTGGGGATCCCACTGCCTTAATATGAAGAATTTGTCAGAAGGCTAGACTGGATAGTTGGAAGGGATCCTGGAGATATTGGAGATGGGCTCCCTCATTCTGTGGATGAGGATACTGAGAGGGGAGACCTGAATCACTTGCTCCCACCTTGTGCCTCCCTCCTGAAACCCTGCACTCCATCTGGCTTGAGAGGACTGGCACCCCTAGGTATGCAGGCCCGACTATTCTCTGATTGGTCTGCCGCATTTTACCTTCTTAGTTCTGCCAATGCCTGATTACTAGGGAAGTACTGAAGACACTATGGTCACACAGAAGGAATAATTCACTTGTAATCCCATCCACTCCCAGAGGAAAGAGTGACCCCTGGTGTGTGTGCAGAGGTGTCTGTGCCAGCGGTGGACAGGCACCACTCAGATTTGCTGTCAGGAGCCCCGTTGCTCTAAATCCTCCTAGGCATTCAGGCTGAGGCTTCTCTTTCATTCCAGCAGCTTCTCCCAAGCTGATTTTACTTCTCTCTGGCCTTTTTATTCTCTTAGATATTTCCCTGCCTTTCCTCAATGCCGTTACTGAATTTCCATTTGCCTTTAGTCTTCCCTGGGTATCTTTAATTTATTCTTTGCTTCTCGGATAATTTTCTCTTTTTCTTTCATTTCTTTCCTGGCTGTATGAACTCATTTTTTTCCCCCCATTTCATCCTGTTTTTGCTTTTCTATTCTTAAGTTTCAGAGTTTTGGTTATAGGTAGGTTATCCTAACTTTAACTGCTTGCTTGAGTATATTTAATTCTGTTTTGAGTGTAGACTGGCATTTTCTTCTGACTCATAGACATGGTGAGAAGTAGGTGGTTTTCTTCTACTCTTCCTCTTGTTCATTTTCGTGAGGTTGAGGTGTTTTTACAGTGTATCCAGCCTATTAGTATCCTTTCCCCTCCTTCTAGTGAAGTCCAGACACTTTAGGAAGCTTGTGTATTTGTTTGTTTTCACTGTGTGTGGGAGGTTACTTGTCCTCTTATTTTGTGATTTTCTTTTGTTCTTCAGGACTCTAAGTTTTCCCCCTCTTTTTCTTTTCTCCTTCACCATCTAATTGCCAGAGGATAATTCTTCCTTTTTTTAAAATTTTTTTCTCCCTCGGAATCTGTACATTCAGAAGGGGATCCCTTTCAGTCCTTTGCCTGGCTCCTTAAGCAGAGTGAGTGCACCCTGAAACCTCCTTCCTCAGGTCCTGTCAGCTCCGACTGAGGCGGTGTCTTTTCTGGTGGTCTCTCAACTCCCCTCAGGCTCAGTCACTGCCCCACCTCTGTCCCCCTCACAGTTTTTCTGCTCCACCTCCTCCTCCAGGACATGGACCAGGGCATGAAAAAATTTCAGAAAATCCAAAGGCAGAAAACAGCTAAGCGACATAGTTTACACTGGATCCTGGTGAGGGGCCACTTCCTTGGGTCGTATGCATTTGAAGTGACTTTGGATTCGTCTGCCTTATGATTTTATGAAATTGTTTCATCAAAGCAAATGAAAATAAACACCTTTCTCTAGGTGCCTGGCATTTGTTGTGTGATGAGAATAAAAAAATTATTCACTGATACAATGAAAATTTGAGATGATGTTTTCCTATTGAACCGTATATTTGAGCCAGTCCTATCTCCTAAATTCCAGACAAATTTATCCAACTCTACTTCCACCATCTCTCGGATATGCTGTAGCACGAGCTTATAATCCTGGCATCCACACATACCTGCATAGGCGTTAGGCAACGGACAAAGCCTGGGTTATTCCAGAAAGAATTAGAGGCAGCACAGTGGGGTATAAAAAGCACAACCCTTCGAACCATACAAAACTGGGTTTGTCTCCTGTCTCTCTCTCTCTTTCTTTCTTTTTGAGTTTGAGAAAGAGAAACGAACTTCTGGCATCATGTTTTCTCGTGTTGAAAAGGAAGACAATATTTCCTTTGCTTGATTCTCTTGCTGATTAAATAAAATTCTTTATTTAAATCATGGAATTGAGAACTTGAAATAGCTATGATGTTTTAAAAATCTTTACCTTTTTCAGGTGAGAGAATCTTAGTTCCTGAGCATGGGCTGGCATGATTGATGATATATCTAGGTCTTCCCCTATTTCCATCCTCACCTCACTAAATGCCCTATGGCTGATTTATTCCCTAATCAAAGGACATGTCCCCTCCCCCAGATCACACTGTTTCCCTGCAGGGTCCTGAAGGTGTTTGTGCGCTGAGAGGGTGTGACTCTGCATTGAAGTGGATCAGGACCTGGCTCAGAAATACACTGCTGAGTCTCCCAGCTCTGCCAGCTAGATGTTGAAGACACTGTGTCCCTGTTTGGGAAACTCAGCAGAAAAGTGTATTGTTGGCATTCATGACTCGTATGTGACGTTTTCTTTCTGAAGATCAATCATGAATTTCAGGCCTTTCTATAGGACGGTCTAATACCAGTAAACATGACTGTGTCCTGTCACTGGACCACAACTCAGTGTTGCTTCCTGCCCTCTCTCCCTGACCAAGTTTGTAGGTTCCTGGATGTTGCCTGCATTCGTGGGGTTTCAGGAAAGAAATGATTGTACGAGATAGAGTCATGATGGCAAATAAAGGGAGCACTTACAATGAAGCAACCTAAGGCAAGATCAAATATCTTTGAAGTCTCCTGTGTCCAATTAAACAGTCACATGAATTTTGCTTTTCACTCCATAATACAATTATTTGTTTTCATTTGAAAGTCAATACCTTTCCCCAAATCTTGGAGACACATAGAGGTCCAGCGATAGAGCCACAGACAAAGGCCAGTGCTGCTGACCCATTAGCCTAGCACATACCTGCCCCCAGGAGCCAGATGAGCACCCAGCAGAGGAGTCTGGGGCCCATGGCTGACTTGGGCATGAAGGGCAGCCCATAGGCAGGGCCCAGGAAGGGTACTGACTAAAGCAGCTCAGGGGGCTGGGACTCACAGCTGCCTTCCATGACACGGTCTTCCTGTGAGGTCACCATTTCCAGTGGATCCTGTTGTCTCTACAACTGACCTTGTACATCAGTTGACTGGGGCATTTTATTTTTTTAACTATACTTGCAACTTGGCTTAATACGTGTTACTGAGGGGGAGAGTGTTATGCAGGGAAAGTTGAGAGGTGAATATCTTCATTATTGCTCCACAGTTTCTGAACCATTAATTTTTACAGTTTCCTTCACTACTTTTTCTTATCTTTTGTTCCTCTATTTTCCTTTCTTCAGCTCATAACATCTTTCCAATTGCTGTTGTTGAGTAGAGGTCATGACCAGATGTGATATCTGGGGACATGTATAGAGAGACAGGGAAGAGGAGACTAGTATTGCCAGAGAAAAAATTAGAGACAGGAAAAGATTTGACTCAGTTTCTTCTTTCCTCCTTCACCTCAACTAAGCAGGGTTTCAAGCACTTTGAAGAAAACTAACTTTCTGTTTTATAATTGCCTTTTCTCATCTTCTGTTATTCTACTTGAATTTTTGATATAACTAATTCAAAGAACAACCAGTATAAAAAGTATAAATTCTCCCTCTCACCTCATGTTCCCTCATTCTATTGATTTATCTGCATTGTTCTCTTTTATCATCGATGCGATACTTATGTTTGAAGGATCTTCCTTCCTTCCATTCTTCTGTCCTTCTCTCCTACTCTGTGGAGTTGAACAAAAATTCTGAGAAACCCTACTTTGTCCCAGACATAGTGAAAGGAAGATACAAAGAAGAATAAGCCACTATTAAAGGTTAACTTGGTTTCAAATACAACACAGCCCAGAGAGTAAGATACAGACTTAGAGCACAAAAAGAAATTGTTACATTTAAAAGTTGCACATGTGTATCTTGAAAAATTTGGAGAGAAGCTTACTGTATTTTATTTTGAAAGTCCTCATCCAAGGAGGACAGGATGCAAACTTCAGTTGTAAGATGTTCATTACTACGGCCATATTCCTCTAAAATAAGAAATGTGGGCATCAACTCTGTCTCTCACAGTCAGCTGGAGGGGAAAAGGCAAGGGTGGACACAGCATCCATCCATGCTAGCTGACACTGCACGACTATGAAGCTTAATGTAGAAGAGGGGAATCAATGACTGCTGGAGATACAGATGGGATCACCTTCTCACCATGTTTCCTACCAGAATCTAAACTGTTCTTCTTTTTTTCTCACCATTGGTGAAGAAAGCAGTTGGATATTTAATAAGTATTTTCCTAGCTCTCTTTTCCAGGCTGAAAATGCTGACAGCATAGGGGCTCCAATTAAAAAGTGTTCCTTGTTTCAGTGGCAATGAACACAGTCTGAGGTGACGGACCCCAAGTAGAGTGTTTAATCACCAGTAACAACGTGGATATGGTCATCATGCGGATATAACTTAGCAGCATGTCCAATGATGAACTGGCTCCCATCTTAGTGTGCTCAGTTCTACTTTGGTTGGGAGGAAAGGTCTTGTTTCCACACTTTCATTTTCACACATGGTATCTAAATCCTCTATCCCTGACCCTCACTACACTGTGATCTTCATTCTCTTCTCTCACAGACTCTAATCCCTTCAGTTATTTGTTTTATTTTTTCTCTTTTTTGATCTCATCCACATAGGAGTTGATTGATCTTAACCCATGGTTCATCACACACAGACATTGTTGAGGCGCGTTTTTGTTTATTAAAAAATATTATAGGTGCTTGTAGAACATCTCTCCCTCACACAACAGTAATCAAGACAGACCTTGACAATATGTAATTGAACAATGTGGTTCTGTCCCCTCCCATCTCTGACCACTCCCCATCAAAGTCCCATACGAAACATCACCCTCAATTGGAGTCATCATCATTCCTTACCAGCATGTGTTGGTAAAGGTCTGACAACCAGCTCTCTGGAGCAAAATAACCAAGCCCTGATTTGCTGTGTCTACTGTTAACCGTGGTGTACATATTCCCGGTATGGTTGATTTCAAGCTATCCACGTGACGTCTTTGAAATTGCAATTCAGAAAGATGTTTACAATCAGCTCTCATGAGCAGGTAAAAGCCAGTTCCGGCAACAACTGCTTATTGATTTCCCTTTATTATAATTTAATCTAATAGATTTGTAGTCACGAAAATAATTGTTTTGGTTACTTGCTTTTAGCTTTATTAAAGCTTTACATCATCTTAGCAGTGTTAGCTTCTGCATTTGAAATTATATTCTTAAGATTCACCTGCAACTTTGC